TGAAAGACTGTGTGTGAGTGTCAATATTTATGAACATGTTTATTGATGTGTGCATTGGTAGAATAACGTGTGTTTGTATAAACCATTCATGTATTGATGGATGTGCGCAGAAGTGAAAGACTGTGTGTATGTGTCAATATTTATAAACATGTATATTGATGTGTGCACTGGTATAAAAGTGTGTGCATGTACATTTTGTATAGCTGAGCAAATACAATAAAATTGATGAAATCGATTTAATATGGTTTAAATGAAATTTAGGCAAAGTTAGACTCGATCTGAGTAGCAGTGAATAGTCTATGAAAGCCGCTGTTTCCATTTGTTGTCTGCCCCCTTGCAACCTATATGCGTTAAATGCGTCATTCTGATGATCATGCTAGCATTATCTTTGGTCATCAGAAGGGCCAAGCTATTTGATTGGTAGTCACCGAGATATCAATCAACGCTATTGATTGCTATGGGTCAACTTGATCACAAACTATGTGATCACGCTAGCTCAACCTTAAATTCGGCCAACAATCATATTCATCAATATATTCGCTATGGCTAGCCTCCGGCAACCACATGCTAAACACTATAATTTTTTGCTAATTCGTTTTAGTATGGGACATTTTTGAAAATATTATTCATACCTGTCTTCCTGGATCTTTGCCAGGTTGTCGCTTGTCAAGGGATTCTGCTTAAAACTCCTGTTAAGTGCTGTAAACAATCCAAATCATTTCCAGTAAATATCCATTCCTTTTCATGCCTTAGGGAATTGATATTCTGCCAGCAATCTTATATCCTTACTAATAATTCTACACGACAAGTTTACCTTGGGCACCATCCCTAAGTGAGCGTGCCGCTGAGGACACACGAGCATCAGATTCCAGTAACTTGGATTGGTTATTGTAGTGCTGTGTTTTAATATCCTCTCTATGACTCAGCATCTATAAAACAAATCATGGTTTATTTATTGAATGTATCACTGGCAAAATTAGTCTTAGCTCTGCCATACCTCATTTGTGGCTCAACATTTATGGTCAAGATGACCTGTATTACAACTGCTATTTTTATAAACATACGACCTCTGTGTCTGCAAGCTGCACTCTGAAATTTGTTTTTTAGCTGCTGTCAATCAAAACTAACCAGTCGGTACTTATCATATTTTTGACTGGCAGCAGCGAAAAATTCCTACAGGCAAATCATCGCAACTACGGAGTTCATACATTTAGGAAAATAGGAGCAACAATATACAGGTTCAAATTCTGGCTGGCCATTGTCTAATTATTACCGCCGTTTGCATTACTACATAACCACCCCATACACAAATCGTGTCATGTAGTTTGCAATAGACTACTGTCAATCATTCATGTTGACGCCATTTATACACGTTTGGATCAGTGAGTTGGCTTTTCTATCAAACTTTCTCAGTCAGATATCACAAAGGAAAGTTCCGAAAGCGATTGCAATGAGTTTGAGTACATCCAAGTAGAATGAAGTGTTTGATTGACAGCATAGTAATGCAAATGGCTGTAACTGTTCTAGTTTTGCAAATAACAAAAATTAATTTGGCCATCATTCCACAAAATTGAAGCTTTGACATGCTGGTATTTCTTCAAGAAAAACACATTTGCTTTAATAAGTGATGGCAGCCTGTCTAGGGGCTATAATGAGGATCACAGTGATTGTTTTCACCCATGAGTTTTACTGTCATCTAAAGATACTCCCTGTTTATCCATGAAAGGAAAAAAAGTTTAAAGACTTACAGCTTCATAACGCTGTTCTAAATCCTTCTGCCCCTGTAGGATCTCTCCAAGTTCATCATCTATTATCTATCAAAAAACAACAAAATTTTAAATATCAATTTCTAAATAAATAGAGAATATATGCCATAAAATATGAGTACACATACTGCGCCATAAGATGTACTGTATATATAAAAGATTGGATTATAAAATATCAATATATGTAAAGCTTAATCAAGGTTTATATTGTAGCGAAAAAGTGAGCTTACCTGACTTGCATCTGCTCGTCCTTCAAGAGATGTTGGCATTATATGCCCCAGAATAGCAATTTGATCAGCACAGTCTTCAAGGACTGCTGTTATATGGATTGCATCGAGGTTGGACAACATTGTTATTTTCCTACCAAAAGAAAGTTAGGATATCAAGTTGAGTTGTTCATTTGTTCTTGACGTCCAAACCAGATGCGATCTCTGAAATTTTATTTTTAAAAAAGATCTGTCTCTAACCTTGATTCTTAGGAGGCTTGTAGCTTCGTGTCTGTTAAAATCGCTGTAAAATCCTGGGATTTTTAGTCCATTTTGACGAGCATTTGTCCACCATGTTACGTTGTCATGGACGTCTGTTTACGTTGATATGGGCCACAAGTCTTTGCGAGCTACACCTCCACAGGGAGCCCAACATTCGAGCTCAAAAAAAATGAAGTTAAATATTTACTACGGAATGTAAAAAAATCAAACGTACAGTCATTACAAAAAACAATTTTCTATGAAGAATGGAGGATTTTTTTCTATTTCAAGTGCTTTTTGAGAAGCAATTATCTGAGGCCTTAATAAGGACGAGACAGCGATGCAAATAGTTAGTGTTCAGCAGTATATGCCGCACATTCATGCGCACAGATCCAGGAATCCAAGATGGCGGACAGTGATGAAGAAGACTTCGTTGCGCTTGGAACTCCATTTGAACAGCTTGAGGAAGATGCTCCCAGGAAAAAGCCAGTGCCAATACACGAACAAATCGTCACGGATGAGCGTGGCAGGAGGCGTTTTCATGGCGCGTTTACAGGCGGATTTTCAGCGGGTTATTTCAACACCGTTGACACTAAGGAAGGTTGGACTCCCAAGACATTCGTCTCATCTCGTTCACAGAAACCTACGGAACGAGTTACGCAGAGACCCGAGGACTTTATGGACGAAGAAGACTTAAGTGAATTTGGGATTGCGCCAAAAAGAGTAGTTACTACTCAGAAGTTTTTGCCAAGTCGAAGTGATGACAGTACAAGTGGCAAGAGACCTAGTGGTAGTGGTGGTCGTGGGGCAGGATCGGCTGTTCTAGGGGAAAACTTGCTGCAGGAGCTTATTGTCCCTGTGAAGATGTCGGTAGGAATTAAGTTGCTGAGTCAAATGGGATGGAAGGAAGGCCAGGGAGTGGGGCCTAGAGTTAGACGTGAAGCAAAGAAGGTAGATATTAGATCTTGTTCACTGTTTTACCATTTTAGATGACATATCAATCCCTTGAGAACTATTTCTTTATCTTATATTGAGTATACCTTACTTGTTCACTAAGCTCACTCGTAAAATATCAGCTCAATATATAAAGATAAAATCCATATCTCTGGTCGTCCAAGTAATATCCTTTAATATGCTTGAGAACTCAAATGAATATGAACATAATCAAGACGAAGAAACTTATTCTCAAGGGATTGACATATCTGAAATGAATTGGGTGTACACAGTGTGTTATCTACAAACACATATATGCACCAGTCATCTAAATCCCTTCTACAAACAACTGAGCATCCATTTATGTCTGGATTAGGGCCCCAAGCTGACCTGTTCCTTTCTTCCTTGGAACAGGGGAGTTCACCCATTACATTTCCCCAATGTCCTGAAGCCTTCACTGGCTTTAACGGGCAAAAAGGTTAATGGCATGCTGTTTGTTTTACTAGACATATGGATGTGTGGGCCCACCTGGTTCAGAACCAGACAAACCAGAAGGCGAAGAAGATATCTATGCTGTTGGTCTCTTTTTTGCTCCCAAAGATGTTGAATCATTTGAGTTCACTTCAAAAGATGACTTACATGGCATTGGTTATAGTGGTATTGATCCAAAGACAGCTTTACTGAGCCAGACAGACTGGCTGGGAATGAATACATCTTCAAGCAGCATTGGTATCAGAGGCCAGGTAGGATTAATAATAATAATAATAAAATTTATTTATATAGCGCTCATATCCATGAGCATGTCCAAGGCGCTTTACAACAG